CCCCTACACCACAGTTCTTTGTTGAGTGCAGCTTGACCGCATTAGAGAGCTTGGTCCTATGCTGAATGAAAGAGCACTGCTATCTTTTAAATTGGCATTTTTATACCACTTTCAATCTTCAAAAGGTCTTATTATACAGAAATTCTCTAATAATATTCATCAGACAGCTAGTTTTCCTTTTTTCTTACTGTATCAGTGGATAATTTGCTAATGATCTTATTTTACTCTTCAGGGAGCAGAGTTTTCTCAGTGTTTCCAAAAGAAGAGGGTATACTAGCTAAAACTGTTGCCACAGTTCAGGAAATGAGTGATTCTGAGGTATAAGGAAGGTGATTTGGGAGAGCAAAATTTTTTCCTGTCAAGGGGAGCTAAGCACATACAGTTCTTACTTTCTAAATGTCTCTGACTGTGTGTCTGCTTTATTAGAGTGGGACCTCTGCAAAAAAAACCAGTCATTTTTGAGTTGAAAAATCAGTAACAAAATATGGAAATAAGCAGGCTGAGACAAATGCACAGAAGAAGACCTGGGTATTTGAAAACCATATCACGTGCAATATAAGTATGTAGTAGTCAGTTACCCTGTTTTGAGGCAATAGTGTATGTGCAGCATTGCTGTGAGTGTGTATATGAATTACATAGGGTAGAGAGAGTTCACATGTTCCTGGTGTTTTGTGGGCTAACCAGTCTCACAGGTGTGTGTGTGTTCTCCAGCCACAGTGTTTCAAGAGCCAGAATCACATATCTTCTGCTGTGCAAATGCCATAGGGTGAAAGCACAGCCAGAGCAGGTGGTGCTGAGGTGCTGTGGTACAGCTGTGTAGCTACTCTCCAGTTTGAGATGAAGATTACTTCCAGTGATTTCTGTTCCAAACCTGGCCACTTGCCTCACTGGAGTGGCAGATTTGCTATGTGCAATTGTGCTCTTTATTTGAATAGGAAAGAGAAAAATAGACAAAAGCACTACCTCCATGATAGGCAATGGGAGTTCTGCCATAAGTTGGAACAGGACCAGGATGAGAGCATTTGCTCTGGCCCATCACACATAATATTTTACTTCCTGTGGAAGATGGAGACATTTCCCTTTTTTATTATTTATTTATTTGAATTTTTATCCCCTCGCCGCTCCTCCACCCTTCTTTATATCCAGTTAAAGACCAGAACTTGCATATTCACTATAAGGTGTCTATTTTGTTCTGCTTAAAAATGTCATCATCTGCTATTGAAAAACATACATTCTTCCTTTTTCTGTGCTTAAACATTTTATTTAATTTTTTTCGTACTTGAAAATATAAAGCCTTTTGGTAACTTCCTTCTGTAAAGTAATATTTCATTTTTCATGCCTTTCTAGTACAGCATCAAACAGGACTTCATTAGTGCTGTTAATGTTAAATATAGCCCACTGATATACCATAGCCACTGACCAAGCAAAACTTCAATCAGTTTTTCTTCTCTTGTCACCTCACACCTCTGACTGAGCAGCTACAAGATGATTCATCATAGAAGGTTTCACGATAGGACAGAGGAAAATTATTTCTGTCTGCTTTTCCCATACTAATAAGATAATTTCAGTTGTAGATACTTTTGCAGCACTTTCTGAGCCATGCTATGACCATTTGAAAATAGAAATCCTTTTATCCAAATGTCAAAAAAATTTTCCATGAAATAAGTGCTATGGCTCTGCAAGACAAATTTCTGCTGTATTTTCTTGTTTAATAGAGTTTAACATATTTTGTCCCATTACAGAACACACCTTTACTAGAATTTATGATCAGCATTAGCTCAGAAAATTAGAACAAAATTCTGTGCATAAGAAACATCTATATTCCGAAACTCACTGGCACGTGCTTAAGATATCGTTTGCCTAAAAAGTTAATAGTGAGGAGAATTCTTTTGTTATTCTTTTCTTTGCTGCAAAGTCCTGTAAGGAGTAATGGATTATTCAGCATCAATGCAGCAATGGTTCCAATAAAATGGCAAGCAATCTGTAGAGAATAAGACATTTTTTCAAGATCTGCAGCGTGCTTCCATGCATGCTTGTGATGGTAGGCTTTCTTGCATAACTCCACTCAACTTTGCGTGCAGCCATAACAAAAACAGAGAATGTATTTCTTTGTTTATTGACATCTGTAAAAGTATTTCATCCCAAGTAATATTTCTTGTGATACAGGTTTTTCAGCTAGTTTGCAAATAAATACAAAAAAACTGCTTTTGTTTTCAGTTTACCAATACTGATGTGACATTCTCAACTTGTTTTTCCCGAATAATCAGTGAGTTCATCATAATGCATTCTGCTTGTGCCTGTGATACTGCACATTTTAAGATCCAGGTTCACATATGAATTGTTCCGAAGAGAGGAACACAGGCTTTCTTTAATTCATATCTATTACTTTGACCTAAATAACACGCTTTTCTCCAGCTCATCAACAATAAATACATTCCACTTTCCCAAAGAAGAAATATATAGCATCCAGTGTCTTAATGCATGTTATTAAGTAGCCAGGATGAAGACTGAGTCTTAACAACAGCTTTTAGACTCTGAGTTTACATGCTTTGTTGGTTCTCTGGAGGCTTGGAGCTTTGGACAACCCCAACAAGTTATCTTGTACTGACCAGGTGATCCCAAGCGTTTAGCACCGTCACTTCTGTTCTGCCAGGCAAGCTGTCTGCCAGGTAGCATATTCCCAGTGGTAAGGGAACTTCTAGACAGCAGTCCTTTCTTCTTTTCCTTTCCTTTTTCTTAAGTACTCTGTGAGTTTGTGAGCGAATAGCAGTAGATAAGACACAGACTTGCAAGCCAACCTTTTCTCACAACTGTAACATAATTTTCATTGATCTTCCTCTGATCTCTCAAACACCTCTGAGGTCCCACTGGCTCCTGGCTGCTCACAAGAAAAAGGCCAGAGTTTATACTGATTTAGAAAGAAACATGCTGAGCAGTAGAAGATTGTAAAGGTTTGGCATTTCTCAGTCCTGCAGCAGGACTACTTAGATGATTATCTTGGAATTCCTAGTGGAGTTGAAAATTCTATTTTAAACCAATAGAGACTTATGACTTAATTCGTGGTGCACAAAGCAAGCAAAATATATTCTTGCTGCAATATTCCAGCAGGAGTACTGGTAATTTTCATAATCATAAATACTGATAATGTACATCAGGCATGCCTGGTTACAGAGAGACTGTTGATAGTAAATCAGACTGGAACACCCTAGCGAAAATTTTTAATGAAATTTTATCACGTATCTTTGAAGGTTTTAAAAAGCAATATGCTCATGATGCAGTTGTACAATTATTCCAAAGAAATTCCAAAGAAATGTTATTTGGCTTGTAAATAAAATACCCAGAGCACATCCCACCTACACCCTGGCATGTAGAAGAAAAACACAGCTCAAAAGCAAATGTCGGTGACTGTGCTATACCTTGTAGTTTATGTAGGTGTCCCCCACATACCAATAATTTGATTTTCTTCAAATGTGGAACAAAATGTTTTAGATGAATGAGGAAGTCCTGGGTTTTTTTTAAAGTTTGTGTTTGAATAGATTTCATAGAAGACTAGATAATGTCTTTATCTATGTGCACATTGTTATCCACGGAAAAGAGATTTGTTACCTTATTGCAGCTCACGATTTATTTTCTTAGCCAGTTTACACTTTCTCCTATGAAAATAACAGATGACATAAATGGGAAGCAACAGAGGCTGTGGACAGAATTTTGACATATTTCCCATATATCTCAGTGGTCATATCACACCTCTCCTTCATATGTGCATCCCAGAGGATATTAGATCAACTGCTGAGGTACTGTAGCAGTTTGAATCTTAATTTGTTACTTTAGTTCTTAGTTTTAAAGATTCAACCTTTAAAGAAAGGTTGAATCCTTGCTTTGGCCAGAGTGGCCAGTACATTTAGGGTTTATTCATTGTTCAAACTCATGGTAGAGGGATATTAAAACTTTTTTGTTTCTGAAGGCAGTTTGCACATGGTATGTCTCTCTTTGTGCCAGTTCTATAGGCACCTCTCAGTCAGCTTAATGCTCTAGCTGCGGTATAAAACACAATGATAGGGCAATGAATCTGATAGGGAACAACTCATTTTTATCCCTGTTCGACTCCATACTCCTGGTATTCCCTAGCTGTTAACAGCACTCATACTCTGGCACTTATTCTTTAGTACAGCTTACTGTGTACCTGAAAGCACTGAAAATGAATATGTCACAGAGTTCTCCACATCTTTGTTAAGTGCATGAGTTCAGGTGTCTTTAGGACATGCTTTGGTGGATTTTGGGTCTAGTGGGTGCATAAAAAAATACATTCTATGCTAAATTTTTATTATAAAGTTTAGTCAGTGAAAGTTGATCTTTTAAGATACACGCATCCCAAAGGACTTTTCAGGAGAGGGAGAATGTATTGTGTTTCATCCTCACGGTTAAAGCATTTGTTTGGAAACCCAGCTGTTTTCTTTGATGGTGGAAGAGAAGTCTGCAGTCAGTTATGTTGAGGGTCAGAGGTTTTGGTATAAGTTAACAGGAACTCCACAAGATAGGGAAGCCCCAGTAACTAAAATTGGTGTCACCAAGAGCATAAGCAAGGACCAGAGTGAGTATTTAATGTTTTGGTATGCCCTTAGAAAAAACCTTTATTTATCAGGCAGCCTGCACTACTCAAAGGGTTAACATCTTATTATCTGAACTGGGACCTAAGTCCTTTCTTCATATTGTGGACAGTTTACACAGATGTCAAATTACCTGTCATGTGTTGTGACAACAAGAGTTGTTAATATATCAACAGCAAATTGGGATTAGCAGAACTTCCATTGCTTTTAGGCCCAAAGCCATCAGCCAAGTCCTTTTATGGAAACAATTCAAAATTTCACTGCAAGTAATTCTGCAAATTCAAGTGTTACTAATAGAAATACTTCTGTGAAACCCAGAAATACCAGAGACATTGTTCTTTCATCAGATGAATATTGCAATATGTGTGAATTTTCTTCTATTTTGTTGTTTAGATATTGATGAATGCTCAGATGGCTTTGTTCAGTGTGACAGCCGTGCTAACTGCATTAACCTGCCTGGTTGGTACCACTGTGAATGCAGAGATGGCTACCATGACAATGGGATGTTTTCGCCAAGTGGAGAATCCTGTGAAGGTTAGTGTCTAAAAAACATGGGGTAGTGTTATGGCTCACATTACAGAAATGTCTAGTGTCTCAGATTGTACTGGTCAAATATGGTCTTGGACACTGCATCAGTGAAAGTTAAACCTTGACCCAAAACAACTGTAGTCTAAATAAGCATCATCAACAAAGGCAAAAGAATATAAAGTATGAATATTCTTATGCAGTGAAACATTAGTGGCCATTTCTGTGATTCATTAAAATACTATGTAAAGTCAGACATGGTGATTAAAATGCAGTTTCTCTGGCTCTACATCTGCTTCTGTGCATGTCCCTTGCATAAGTGATTTCCCGTGGGCTGATAGCGTGCACTGTAATCTGTCGCTCCACAATAATCTATTTATATGTCACATTCTTTGTATGTAAAAATAGGCCTCAATCCAGACCTCAGTTCCTCCTCTTTGTTCTTTGTACACTGAAATAGTCTGTGATAAAAACATTTCCCATTGCAAAAAATGATTATGCATCCCTGAGACCCTTGGTTATTACCATAGTGCTTCTCCTGTGCAGAGGCTAACTGCTTGTAGAAAGCTGCAATTTGAAGAACTACATTAGAAACTGGGAAGCTCACTGGACTTAGGGCTGGGGCAAAATATAGGGGACAAGAGAGTGACACGAGCACAAAGAGATGGGAGGGTTTTCTTGTTTATGAATGATGTTGGAGGGAACGGCAGGTTAATAAGAACACAGTTATTTTCAGATGCAAATATCTTGGTATGGAATGTTATTAAGCTCTTAAAATATTTCATGCTGTTGCTCTTAAATAACAGAACAAACCAGTCTGGTTATGCCATGGACTACTTAGGACAAAATTATGACCCTTTCTCCTATCTGTCTTTGAGTGCTGAAATATTCAGTGCTCACAGTGTAATCTTTCTTATTGCTGTTTAAACTCACATTGGTGGGCTGCCTCTGTCCCAAAGGGAAGCAATTGAATTAATTTCAGTAAGGCAGACACACAGACCATTTTCCAGGAGTGAAAATGACCTTTTCGGTATGCCCATCATCAATACTTTATTTCAACACATTTTCACCACAGCTGAAAGCCTGTAATCCCAGGAGGAATCAGCAATTTGAGTCAACCACTGCTTTCATAAATCGAGCTTACTTTTTCAAGAACTAACTAAATGTCAGTGTTAGCTGTCCAGGTGTTAGGACAGGAAGGCGCAAAGAAGAATTTGTGTTCCTTCTGATTATAACATTGCACTTCTGTCACTCCTGGCACAGGTAATAAATACTTCAGCCAGGCATTTGTGGAAATATTCTCAATATCCCAAGTTTTATCTTCAGTGTCAACATAACACTTGTCTCATGGGTTGAAGATAGTGCCTTGGCACATGCTGTCTCAAGAGATATACATGATACAAAATTACTATGTTAAGATGTGAGCAAACAAGTAACAATTAAGTTGCAATTTCCAAGCAAATGAAAAGCCAAGGGAAAAGAAATATGGGGATCGCTACATGTATACAGAAGTGGCTATTATTAGAATGCTTTGACCTTTTCTACAAAGCACCAGCAGCTCTTTGTTAAACATAACCAGAGGATAACAAGTAATTAGAGTTAAATCAGAGATGCCAGGAAACTATCTTCATTGCCGATAACCCTAGTCACTAACAGTGGAACACTTTCAGTTTGATTGATCGCGGCTCCAAATATTGGAATACTTAGCAACTTGAGATCATAGAACTATAGAATGGCTTCAGTTGGAAGGGACCTTAGTGATCATCTAGTTCCAACTCTCCTGCTGTGGGCAGGGACACCTTCCACTAGACCAGGTTGTTCAGGGCCCCATCCAGCCCGGCCTTGGTTGCGAAGAAAGTTAGATATTTGATTAGTCTTATTACATCACTTCTTGTTGTATTGAAGCCTGTGATATGTTGTCTCAAATAAAAATAAAACCTAAAAGGTATGAAGAGACAGCCTAAAATTCATTATGGTATGGAAAGTTGAACTTGCAGTGGTGCAACACAGTAATGCAGAAGCACTCGTCTTCTCTGCTGTCAGATCTTTCCACTGCAAGAGATTTCCCTGCTGGGTTTAAAGACCAAAGAAAATGGTTTTCTTTTGTCACTTCTTCAGTAACCCCTAGTTAGATGTGATTAGATTGAGCTGGTGGTGGATAATCTTTTAGATAGTCACTTTAATGGGGCAGCAGTTTCCAGGCCATACTAATCTCAAATTTCAAATCTCAGTCTTCCAATTCTCACCTTCAACTGTATCCAGGACCAGCATCCTCTGAAACTTTCTGGCTCGTGCAAGTGCTTCATCTTGCAAGAGCTGTAGAAGGAACAGTGCAAACTACTTCAAAGTAGTGTTTTATATAAAATGCATAATAGCATTGATTTTGACTCATCTTTTATAAGTGTTAGTTGTGTTGAAGAAAGTTCTCTGTTTTAGTGCAGAAAACTTGTAAAAGCCAAGGAAGTGTGGATTTAAATATTTTCTTTCTTGATTGTTCTACGTGGTATGCCTCAAATCTGGGTCTGTTTTTGTCTCCTGGAAGTGTGCCAATAGTACTACAGATTGCATTTTGGTGGTCAGCGTAATCAGCTCCTTGTTTCCTTCAGCAAAGCCTCTGATTTTAAAAATTCATGTGGAAACACCTCTATTAAAATCACACAGGTACATTTCCTTAAAAACCTTATTTTAACAGGATACCAAAACTGCATCTACCTGTTTTGCGGGAAATGTCCTTTTAGGACATCGTACTAAATATTCCTAGCTAGACATGGGCTCCTTGGTAGCATTAGACTTTTTCAGTGCTTGATAATGAAAAAATAGTTGCTGAATTGCCTGTATTACACATATATTGACCTTGGCTACAGCTGCTTCTTTGGCAAAACTCCGAATATTGAGCATTTTGACTAATGTACTTGGACGCAGAAATTCATAATCACATTTTATTGTATCTACAGGCAATGGAAGACCTAGAGATTCCTTTGCTAATGGTTCTGATTCACATTATACTCCTAGGCAGACCTATGGTGTCTTTAACAATTACCAAGAGAAATTATGGGAAATGCAGCTGTAGGGCTTCAACCTCTTACCAGCACTTACTGTTTTTCCCTTGGAAATAAAATTATGTTATGCATCACTGTATTTCCAGAAAAGTGAAATGTCAGCCATATAGATTTGAGAACTGTATGGCTTTGGGATGTCTTAAATTTTATATATATGTAAATATAGCATTCAGCACGGTATATTAACTGGTATCTTCCTCTTTGCCCCCTGACAACTTTTCTTTATTGTTTCTTTAAACAGTCTTATTGGTACTCTGAAGGTTGTCTCTCATGTACTATTTCTTAAAGAGAGCTGGGCTAAGGGTGTAGATATTGCATCCTCAGGCTTCATTGCAGTAAAAAAACTGGAACAAACTGAGAGCAAAATCCTAAAATAAGAAAGTTTGGGCCCTGTTAATGTTTGCCCTGCAGTTCTGTGTAACATCCTGATTCCTTTGAATTTGTCCTCTGCAGTGTCTAAAAGCTTCCAAAATCAGTTGAAGAGAGAAACTGTATTGGTTTGTACCAGAATAGTGCAGGTTATACCTCAGCAGTTGTTGGACATTTTGCATACATCCACATTCGAAGAATAGCTCACCTAATTAAGGCAGCCCATTAGGACTAACCAAGAGTATCTGTCAGGTACCAGCTGTTGTTTATATAGAATATGAGGTCAACATATCTTCACTCTCAGCAGGCACCACATTCTTTAAATGAGACAGGTGCAAATGAAAGGATTGGAAAGCATCATTCCAGAATGCCCAATTCATAAAAGGATCTTTTTTGGTTGTAAGGGTTTATCTCTATGTGAACTCACAGTTTGGGTTTTCTGTTCTGAAATATCTTATGTTTTTCTTCTGCCATCCTGATTCCAGAATTAGAATAATTTCCTTCTCTGTGTGACAGAGCAGCCTGCCTGACAACACAGGGGCTAGGTCTCTACTTGAACATCATGTTCCACAGTTGAGGATATTGAGGGATGGAGGCATATTACAAGCCTCAGTATGCTCCCCAGCCTTAATGAATGGGCAAAGTCCAAAACGGTGACTCCAGCGTCCATGTCTCTGGATCTGCATGGCAGAGGAATTCCTAGCTGTCAGGATGTCTCAGTTTATCTCACAGTACATCCAGTATTTTAATTAGTACATGAAATTTCTTGTAGCTGGAAAACCACTGTCAGTTTGGAGTCCTACACTTAGGTTTCAGAACCTTTCTTATTGATAGCACTTAAGGGAGACAGGAAATAAAGAATCACTACTCTTCAGCAGGAAATCTTACTAGCATTCACAAAGCTCCATTAAAATCCTTTTGCTTTTATTCATGATCATAAAAGGTCAGCAAATAAAGTGACTTCTTTCTTTCCCATCCATCCCAAATAGAGCTGTAGGCATTAAGGCTTCATTACTAAATTTGGAAACCCAACTTAAGCATCACCAAACAGAAGGCAGATGGCCTCTTTTATTTCATGGCACGTAGTTCCTTAGAGAGCATGTGTTATGCAAGGGAGGTCATGAAGGTTTTGAATAAAAGTATTACACTATATGAAATGTATTCCCTCTTTAAAGTGTTTTTAATTAGTGTAGTATACATTTACTCTGAATCCATGATATGGTATCTTTAAACAATCTTCTTTCTATCTGAAAATGTTATCTTTTTAGTCACTAGTTTTAATTCATATTTAACATAATACTGTCTTTGAATCTAAGCACTACCACAGAGATATTTTTTTTTAATAGCCTTTTAAATTCCTTGAAGGATATTGAACTTGCACACATTGGTCACTGTTCGTCACCAATTGAGCAAGTTTGAGCTGGCTCCCTGCCAAAATTTCCAATGCTCATTGAAAGCCTGCTTCCCAGAGAGGGAAGAAAAAAACCGAGCAGCCAAAGCTAGAGCAAAATATACATATTTTACATGTAAAACAGATATATACAGTGAGAATACTATATACATATAATCTCAGAAACCCCAAATAGCTTCCTAAAAGGGAAGAGTGGAAGGGAGAAGGGAAAAAGGACGAAAAAAGGATGCAAAGGGACAGAAACAAAACAGGTATGCACAATCTAAAAACCTGGTAACCAGCAAAATAAAGAACTGGCAAAATCTCACCACTTCCCTTGAGAGAAGCAGGACGGCTGGACACAGCCCAGCACTCTCCCCTCACGCGTGGCAGAGAACAGCAGTCACTGCAGGCCTCAGCTCCAGATAAGCAAGACCGAGACAGGGACCCACCGTTCTCGAACCTCGCCGGAAAGGAAGAGCGCGAGCTCTCTTATCTATGCCTTATTTATACCTCAGGTTATGCAAAGGAATAGCATGGAATACTTCCTTGGTCACTTTCCTAGTTTCTTCCTGGTTACAAGCTAGTCTCCAGGAAGGCCTAGAGTGAAAACTGTCACACCAATGCAGAGTAGTTGCTCAGTAGAGACATTCTGAGTCTGAGCCTGCTCACTGCTCAGGGCCAAGTCAAACAGTGCTTTCTCTCTTTGGGATTCTTTGACTATCTGTTCCAAGAATCAGTCAGTAAATCTGTTAAATACAGCCTTGGGTCACAACCTGGTGGAGCAATTAAAATGCCCATTTTTATGGAGATTTCTGCCTCTGCAGTCTCACAAATATTGCAAATGGAGTTTAGTAATTCCAAGTACTGTCACCATATTGTATGGCTTTAGGCCAGTATTTTTCCTGTGTAGACATGAAATTATTTGTGATACAATTAACTCCTAGCTTTCTGTAACACAGAATATATCACTACTTCTTCCCCCATGATACTCCTTTGTTGTTGCAATGTTAAGTTGTCCCAAGAGATGATGGTAAGAAATGGAAAATCCTTCAAAATGCACCAGATCAAAGCTGCTGTAATTTTTAGTGTAGGTTTCATAAAAAAGAACTTATCCTTATTTAGCATTAGATAACTACTTACATTTCATTTCTGGGGTTTTTTTGAGGCAAACCTCCAAGTCCTTTGAGACCTAATGTTTTAATGTCGTAACATTCAAGCTGCTTGGTTCCTAAGCAATGTGTTGTAAATAGCCTGAAATGAATTATTTGTTTTGTTTTGTTTTTTTTTGTTTGGCTGGTTTGATTTTTGTTTGGGTTTTTTGTTGTAGTTTTTTGGTTTGTTTTTGTTTTGTTTTGAAACAATATGGGAGCAATAATAATATGCCTCTGTGGCTAGATTTACTGGAAATATGCAACCTGTAATCCTACATCTTCACTTTTCAGATACAGAAGATGGAGGGAGCAGTGTACCTTGTCCATAGCTGGTTATGACTGTAAACCAAACTGTCAGTAACATAATTCACCATCCATTAAAACTCCAAAGTAAAAAAACTGAACAAAGTTTTGCTTGGTGTGGATGATTTGTGTGCAAGTTCTTTGCTGATAATGCTCGAAGTTTGATGTGGATGAATTATGCAAATGAGAGTTTCATGCATGAAAAGTTGGTGTTTCTCTTGCTGCATCATAAACACACTGCTGTTTCTGATTAGGTTGGAATCAGTATGTAAATAGCTCCTGCCGTGACTAGGGATATTTAAATTGCCCTATCCAGAACACTTGTTTTCATGAATCAAACTACTGAAAAAAACAAAGTTGAGATTTTTCATAAGTTCTCAGTGCCAGATAAGCTCAGCTTGATACCAGAGTCAATGATAACCTCCATTGTTTTCAGTTACTGTTACTGTGTTGAAAAACAAACATCAAAAGTCTTTTTCTCATGGGAAAATTGTGAAATACACTTATACATAAGTGCCGAATGCAGACTTAATGTTTATAAGGTCAGCATTTTTTGTTTAAAGGAAACTCTTCTTATTTACATGATATCTGAACTTTGTCCACTTATCTCATTAAATATGGCTGCTTTCTGTTAAGTGTCCAGGTTCTTGAGAAGTATCGTTATTCATTTATGACACTAGCTGTGTGAAAGCTTTGTACAAAACAGTGTTCTAAAGAAATGAACACAAGTTTCATAAAGTAATTTATTAAAAAATACTTTAATGATAAAGAGAATCTTGCTGTTAATCTGAATCATTATATTATATAGAATTAGTTTCTGTTCTCTTTCTTGCATAACCTAAAAACAGTTAGACTGAGTATGCAGAGATCCTAATTTTAAATTGCAAGATTATATTACTTTCAGGATGAATTTGGCTATAAAATTCTTTTTCACCTCTTAGTGTGGCAGTGAGTGTCATATTTAGTATATGCATTGTATGAAAAGTTATTTCCTTTTATCAGGCTTAAATTTGTTGTCTTCCAGTTCCATTCACTGTCCATTGTCTTGCGTGTTAGGCAATATGGAGAAAAAAAGCTGTCAACATATCTTCTCTGGAATATTCTTTTTTTTTTGTTTTGTTATGTTCTTTTAGAGATGGGCAATTTATTTCTTTTCAGTTTTTCTCAAATGACATTTTCCTCGTTCTTCCCATAAACCCTGGTCATTTTGCAGTTTTTTAAAGATGGTGCCACTGTAATTGCACACAATATTTGAAAGAAACCCACAATACTCCTTATTTGTACAATGGGATTCTAATAATTTCCCTGCTGTTTTTCATTCCAATTCATATTCATGTTAGCAACTTGCTTACTTTTTTTTTTCTGCAGCCACACTTAGAATTGAAATGATAATGGAGTTATTTTGCTTTAAACTGAATGTGCTTGAGGTGAATTCAAGGTTTCATTTCCATTGTTGAACCCAAAGCTGAGTGTTTTATTAGGTTTTTATGCTGATGGTGAAAGATACATGCATGACCGTATTGCTTATTTTGTCTCATTTTCCTCTGTTGGACAACAATACTTTTTAATAATTAAGAACTTGGACCGTACTGTTGTGAAATTGTATTTAGAGTTAAACTCAGTGTATCGGTATTTACAGTCACCGTAGTTCTAATCTTTACTCTGTTTTCCACTTTCTACTGCATATATCTGTTTACTTCATGACCTTTTGAACTTCTTTTCTCAGATAATTTTTCTCCATTTGGACAGCTGGAAAAAGCTAAATAAAGACTATTTGAGTAGAAGGTAGTTTGTGCTGCTAGTTGGCTCTTGCAAAATAATTGTGTGTACCTTGATGAAATAGATCTTTAAAGGTACTCTTGAATTCTTTGAGATATGATTGTTTTGAAGTAATTTATTTGTATTCACTGGAGACAGGATTTTTTTTCTTTATTTTCTATTCGAGACACAAGAGCTATAGGTATCACTGCAACTTGAATAATAAAAGTATTCTAGTTTTTGCACTGATAAATGATGCAACTTTAAGTATGGTCTCTAATAAATGATGCAACTTAAAACACGGTGTACTTGCTTAAATGAGCTTACAGGTCAGATGTCACCTTTCACATTAACTTCTCAGCAAGTGAACTCAAATGTGCTAGACAGAACACAGAACTAGCAAAAGGTTTTGAAAACAGGATTCTGAAGCTATCCTTGTTTCACTGGACATGTCTTATGAATGGTTGCCACAAACTAAAGCTCTTCAGGGAGCAGAGAATTATATTTTTTTGCATACTTCTTGTGATTTCTTCATTCTATCTACCTTACTCAGTAGCATTCACTTAGAAAGAGGTGTAGGAAAACTGACAATATCATGTTTTAAAAGCTGATGTGACTTGTAAAATATTTTTTTGTGAACTTGTAAGTTATTTCTCCCTATTCTGGTGAAGTACAAATTAATTTTCAGCTGAAGGCTTTAATGGCTAAGAATCATTTATATTGACTGCCAGAAGAACATTTTTATTAATTGAATGTGGTCTAAGAGCATTGCATGGCATGTTTTTGCAGATATTGATGAATGTGGAACTGGAAGGCATAGCTGTGCCAATGACACTGTTTGCTTTAACTTGGATGGTGGGTATGACTGTCGATGTCCCCATGGCAAGAACTGCACAGGAGACTGTATCCATGAAGAAAAAATCAAGCACAATGGTCAGATTTGGGTGCTGGAGAATGACAGATGCTCTGTCTGCTCATGCCAGGTCAGTACAAATGGAGTTAGCTGCTTCTGTGAGGTGGTGATAGGGATGAAGGAAAGAGCATCATGATTCAAGTGAAATTCCTGGTATAGCTGCCTTCTCGGGTGCATGTGTGGTGCTACAGAAAAATAAAATTGTGTCTTACATAGGGTCTTGAGGAGAGCTTCTCTCTCTAACCTGCACAAGCAGAACATCCACAGAAAGTTTATTATATGATGCTGGGAGAAGGACAATAGTACTGTTTTGTTAGCAGAGATGCCACCTGTGTTTTTTTGGTGGGAGTAACAGCATTCTCTTGCGAAGAAACTGTCTAGATACATATTGGAGTTGGAGGCTGACACCAGTATCTCTAGCAGATGGCTATATATAGAAGTAAGTTCTGTATCTGCAGAGCAATTCACCTTAACTTTTCAGCTGTTAGCTGTGGGAACTTTGGTCCCAAGCTAAATGCTGATGGAGAATGAAGGCCCAATACACTGGTAGCTGTGTCCTGAGCATTTCAGCAGCTGAACTTCCATTGATATGGGTTGAATTTCAGATCACCTATCATTTTCCTTATGTGAATAACTACAGAAGAGAGGGATTGATCTTCCTTGGTACCCTCTTCTAATCTGGTATTCTATGATACTGTGATACTCTATAGTCTGAAGTTTAAACAAGATTCATCCAGCCTTCATATGAGAATGACAAACTTAGTGCAGTCTCTTAAAATTTGACCCTTGGGAAAGACACCCTTGGGTTTCACCACCTTAGAGGAGAGCTGCCTAAAGATTGATTGTATGAAGGATGTATATAAGGCAACAGGGGAACTTTATGGTAGTTGATGAGTGTGTATTGGGGTTTCTAACTTGTTTTGAATTGTATTTTGACAAAGATACTGTGAAAAAACTTTTGAGCTACTGTCTTAGAATCATGGCAAAAAATCAAGTTTTTGCCCAAGTATGGCTGGAGTTGTGCAAATTTCTACCATCACTGTATGTCTGTCTTCTAAAACCAGAATGGATATGTGATGTGCCGGCGAATGGTCTGTGACTGCCAAAATCCCACCGTTGACCTCTTTTGCTGTCCTGAATGTGACCCGAGGCTCAGCAGTCAGTGTTTACATCAGAGTGGGGAGCTTTCCTATAACAGTGGTGACTCCTGGATACAGAATTGTCAGCAGTGCCGCTGTTTGGTAAGGCTTCTGATTACAGCAGCAGAGACAGGAGGGAAAAAGTATATGAGATATTCTGATCTGTGAATAGTTTAATTTTCATGCATTAGCATCCACTTAATTTCCCCTGGAGTACGTATATAATCAAAATGTGGTTTTCGTGGATTTTTGTCAGTATTGTCAAGTTCCTGTCAAAAATGCATTTTGACACAATACACATAATATAAATTATTTAATCATAAAGATTGTTTTAGCAAAGAGTGAAGGTCATTTGGATATGGCACCTGCACCGCAACATTAATGTGTTCACATTCAGAGAGTGATGAAGCAGTATAAGGAAATTCTAAATATGTATTTATTATCCCAATTGATAATTTCAAGGATGCTGGTAGACTAAAACTTGTTTTTTCATTCAGACATTTTGAATAACAGAAAAATAATAAGACACTATATATTTTTCAAAACAGTGAAATGAGTTTTGAAAAAAACATCTATTAAAGCTTGTCATCCTTTTTCTGGGCATATATTCCATACAAACTGTTCTGCATAACGTTGCTTGGGAAGTTTCTATGACAGAAAAAATCCCAAGAAAAAACAACTAGCTTTTGTCACAGGTTATCTGCAAATGTAAAGTTCATGTAGCAGCTTTGGCTTGTCAGGGTATCATGAATAACAGCCAGAAACCAATTCTGTAGACTGTGCTTTCAGTGCTACCACTGCTAAAATCCAATTAAATAGATTCCCATGTGCTTCATTAAGTGTCTTAAAAATGAAACAAAACAACCTACAGTTTAGAATCTCAATAGATGTTTCTTTTTTTTCAAGATTCTACTTCTGTAGCTAAAGCCTGCTTTCTTTCAGTAGTCATGGATTTTTTGGGGTGACAGTGTATTGTCTAGTCCTTGTACTGTTCATCACTGCAAAAAACCAGATTGAAGTATCAAGAGCAGTGGCTGGTTTCAAAGGTTGCTTTCATTCTTACCACCATGTAGTTCAAAAACAAGAAAATTGATCCAGATGAGAAATTTGTAAAAGACTAACTTCACAATACTTTCTGCAAAAATAGGGGTAGATTTGGAGCCATGACGAGTATCTGAATTTTTTTTCAGCCTCTGCTCTGGAGATAGTGAACTCCTCATGCTCAAAGTCTTAGATACAGTTTTTGTGAATATGCTGATTTCCTAGGACCATATGCTGTTCTCTTTGCCCCCCTTAAATCCAGACTACTCAATCTGTGCTCAAAGTACCTGAATAACTGTGAGGTCAGAGATGGACCTGCTACCCCAAAAAAATGTGCATTAATGACTTCTGTGAAATCTTTTCTTTGACCAATGGATCTGTAGCTTTGGCCCTTGTCCAGAGTGAAGGGAAGTTGATTCCAGCTTCTAGTAACTGATGTGAATAATTAAACATCTTTAGATTTGTGATCAGGCATACAGTAATTTCACCTAAGGATATTCTGGCTCAACACAAATCTCTGCTTTGAGCTTTTCTTACTCTGGCTGTACTAAACCCACCATGCAGAAAGTGTGATTACACTTGGAAGTTCAGTTATTCTGATCACAATATTCTAAATGGATGGTAAGTGGGTAGAGGTCCTCTCACTGAAAACACACTGGTGTTCCCTATTACATTGGGCTGCTGGTAGCTTGACACCCTTGATCTAGCCAATGCGCTTGTAACCATGGCAAAAATAAATTTGAGGGCTTTCTATGGCAAACCAACAGTCTGAATAGAAGTGGAACTAGGTGAAACTGGAGATTTCGGAGCACTTTTGCAGTGGAGTCATGTTATAGCTTCTGTCACTTGCACAAGAGTCTCACAAGGACAGACCCATATAGAATCATAGAATCATAGAATCATAGAATCGATTGGGTTGGAAAAGACCTCCGAGATCATCGAGTCCAACCCTTGGTCCAAATCCAGTCCATTTACTAGATCATGGCACTCAGTGCCACGTCCAATCTGCGTTTAAAAATCTCCAGGGATGGTGAATGCACCACCTCTCTGGGCAGCCCATTCCAATGCCTGTATTGCATAACTTGTATGGAGAATTTTCAGCTGCAGTTAGATGCAGAGTCTTTGGAAGTAAGTTAATATACTTCCTGAATAGCATGCAGAAAAATGCACCTGACCTACCGTGTCTCCCACAGTCAGTGTTCTCTGTGCTGAATTCAGAACAGGACCAGATGGGAAAAATCAGCCAGCTAGAAATATAGTGCTGATCCAGAGGAATGGGTCATGAAACAAAATAAGAGCAAATAATCATATTTTGTTCTCTCTGAAAACAGCAAGGAGAAGTTGACTGCTGGCCTCTGCCATGCCCAGAGGTGGACTGTGAATTCAGTGTCCTCCCTGAGAATGAGTGCTGCCCACGCTGTGTCACTGACCCCTGCCAAGCAGACACCATTCGCAATGACATTACTAAAACATGTCTGGATGAAACCAATGTCATTCGCTTCACTGGATCTTCTTGGATTAAGCATGGCACAGAGTGCACCCTCTGCCAGTGCAAGGTAAAGTGTATCAAGATAAAGCTGAGATACTTCTTTCCTGTCTTGTTCTGTGGCACATCAATATTAATGCGCTGAGTCTGGTCAGTGAACAGTTGGTGTCTACACTTGTTTTAAAGCAGCAGAGATGACAGTAAAAGTGTTCAGCTTAGTTAATTGTACTTTTGCATGTGCTAGAAGGATGATTTAATTGCTAGGAGGTCAGAAGCAGGACAACAGCCTATGCTGCAGAGTGCTGTGGACACAGTAGTGGCCTTTGCTTTTCCCTGAGTATATTCAAGTTTGATCACAGAGCTCCAAGCTCCATGCTATCTTGGAAACATGCAAATATAGGTATGTAAGCCTAGACTTTGCACAAGAGACTTGTTCAGTGTGATACTGTAGTGTTATTGGAACTGATTGAATTGCTTTGGAGAATAAAAAGACTAGTTATATGGTCACATAGTTTTCATGCTTTAAAATTAATAGCATAATCAGCATGTTTAGGACATTTACCATTTTTATAGTCAAAGGACTTCATTGTCCAGGGAGAAAAATTAATGGCTATGGGCATATGTGACTGAAGAATAACAATAGGTGTTTCCACGGTAGCCAAGGAGAGAGAGACAGCAGGATTCATCTATAGTTATTTAATTATTACTGAAATTCACAGTTTATTTTGGGCTTTATTCTATGTCCTTCCCAAGCAAGATGCCTCCCAAACTCTAATACATGGTACAATTAACTACTTTGAAAAGGTGCTCATAAAACAATCTAACTTCAACACCTCCTTCTGTGAGAATTCTGTGTGATCAGGGAGCAGAAGCAGTCAAGTATCACCTTTGTCCTCCATTTAACCTGATTCATACTATGTGCAATAGCAGCTGCTGCCATCAAGGCATAGTCCTTTCTCAAGGGCAGTGGTATGCACCAGGTACGTGTCAGCATTTGTCCTGGTGGCAGAACGGGTCAATGGTGAGAAGAAAATGCTGTAATCTGACAGAATGGCTAATGGTTAGAAAGCCAGCTGCTGCCTGAAAGATGTTGAAACAGGCTTACACACAGAAACCTGTGCTTTTGGGGTCTGTAGCTGGTGGTATACTCCAGCTCCAGTGCTAGAAGTTACTTTTTGCTTGGGCAAGTTGCTGAGGTTCTTTTGCATCTGTTTCCCCATCTGTAGAACAAATAATGGTGTGTGATTCTTTCCTAAATCGCTTTTTAGATTCAGTGATGGGAAATGTGTTCTCATTGTACTGCTAATCAGTGGCAATGCAGAAGGCATGTATCAGTTCTGATGATGGCGACCTCTGTGCTGCTGCCATCTGCCCTTTCGTGTTAAGCAAAGACTGAACCCTAAGCATTGACTAATTGGTATTCAATGTAAACACATAAACAGACTAATAAAATACAGTGCTGCATTGTGAACATAGTTAAGATTAAAACAGATACTCTGCCAGACTCCATAGTTTTAATGACTCAGATGTGAATCTGCGTAACAGCGAAGGTGTATTACTTTGTCCCTAAGCAAAACAAATCTCACTCAATTCTCTTTACAGAACAGTCTTCGTTTTGAAATACACTATCTGCTCATACTGCTGGCATTTTAATATTGCAGTTCTGCATGCAAGCAGCCTGCTCCCTCCAGATCAGGTTAATGGTGTGTCCAGTTTGTATAGTGCTCCTTCTCATTCATATTGTGTCACCCTACTCTTTTCTTGCAGAGCACCACATGGAAGGTCAAAGCTCCAGTCTAAGCCTCTCTAAGCAAGCTATAGCAAAATAGGTTTACACAAATCCTTTAAGAATTCAGAAAACTGGGTATCAGCTAAAGTAGACTTAGCTACAAAAACATTTCTAATCACAAGTAAAGAAGGTGGAGAGTAGGACTGTAACCTCCAAAGTTTAGTCAATTAAATGTACTTGGAGTAATTTATAAATAATACTCAGCTTTTATTTGTATTGTAAGAATCAGACTTAAGAAAAGGAGTATTGGAGGTGCAGAAAATTATTTCTCAGGTACTTTAATGATGTCCATGGGCAATCTGTTCCCTTAATTGCTAATATTGTCAGAAGAATGTCTGGACTATCAGGAAAAAGTTTATGGATTAATGTTTGCTGGTGTTACAGCCAGGATGTATTGACTTGAAGCATTCAGGGCTAAATAAAGCCCAGAGTCACTTCTGCCTGATCTGAATAAAACTCCCAAGTGCCCTATCTTGTTCAAAAGCTTTATGTACTTGAGCAGATGCCTGATACCTTTATGCTGGGAGCATTTCTTCCACTGATCCCAGCTTCTTTCAGTTTGACTGTTGTAGCTCTGGGACACAGACCATGGCAAACCAAGTAATTAGAAGAATCATAATAGCCTGTTCCCCTGGGCAACATGATGACAATGTCATGGATCTGATCCAAGTCTGTATATTCAAATCTGATGAGTGTTTGCAAACAGCTGAGATTGTTAAATTTACTTGTTTTGTACAAAATGCAAATTGTTTCAATTCTTCTTTCTGTTTTTCTGTTCTTTAGAATGGCCACGTCTGTTGCTCAGTGGATCCACAGTGCCTTCAGGAACTGTGACACCAACAACCATCTCTCACAAGCAGTTTCTGGTTAAAGAATTTTCCTTCACAGAAATAGACCTTTAGACCAAAAATTGTTCAAAATTAAAACTAAAACTAGGTTGGTTTTGTCTATCTGAAGTGCAGATATGTGATGAACTCAGTTACCTGAATCAGAGTGAAATCTTTGGGACTCAAGACAAGCTCAGATGTGTAAACCCTTGTTTGAGGTTAGGCCCAAATCTTCTGGCTATTTGTCTGTCTGGCATCCTTGTGCAGAATGTTTAGGTTAGTGTAAAGTGACACATTGTAATGCTGTACATAATGATGTCAAGATCCAAAATCAACTAGGAGCTCTTACAGGGTCTTCTGAAGCTTTGAGAGTCCAGCACTTGACCAGAATGCAGCAGTTTTACCTAATCATATTTGGAACTGCACAAATGTGTTTGATTGCTTACTGCAGAACTTAGCAGATGTCTGACTAAAAGGATGAAGCCTTCAGGAATAAAGAACCTAGCAGCTAAGATGTGATATGTACAGTATGTGCGCTGGAAAAAAAAAAAAAAAAAAGATAGAAGTTATTGTTAAAAAAAAAGAACAAAAAAAAAAAAACCAACAAAAAAGAAAACCCGTGATGCACAGGCATGGCTTCTTATTGTTTTCTGATGGGAAAAGTCATCAATATTTCCTTGTTTTACTGCACTTACTATTATTTCTTGATTGACTTTGTTCAGTATAAGCTCGTTATTGTGCAAATTTAAATAAATATTTCTCTTACCTTAATTTTCATGTATGCTGTTAATTCGTCTCCTTTGCAAGCATTCCTGGGCATCTGGACAATACAGGTGACATATTGCCTGTCTAGCTCCTCTACATATGGAAGCTTATACCCAGCACAGGCTTATGCCTGTTATGTCTTATCTTTGTTAAGACGTGCATAAGCAAGTTCATGCATCTGAGTCATTACAGTGGATTGAACAGCAAATTCACGTACTTAAAGATCAGACCCTGTGTGCCACCAGGATGTTGTCACCCACAGTCAGTACAGACCATTCACATGTGACTTACATCTGTTCAGATTTACAGGGGATCTTCTCCAAATTCCTCCTCTCTCCAGCTGCCATGGGTTGGTTTGTTTTCTGTAAGCTCTGCAGCTGTTTTTATTGTTTGTGTGAAGTATCTTAATGCATGGGGATTACTTCAATATGCAAACCTGATTTTCACTAGTGTTCTGTTGGGGCAGTAAATAAAAGAAGTTATGTGACCAAAGCTATGTTATTCTGAAAGAGAAATAAAAATAAAGCAATGCTTACAAATTGCCTGAAAAGGCTGAATTTGTAAGGAATGTATCATGAACAGTGGAGGCAAAGAGGAGAGAAGAAAACTGCCCAAGATAACAGCATTGTTTAAAAGCTGCTTTAGTAGTCATATTCTTTTCAAAGTGCCTTGCTGCTCTTCAGCATCTCCCTGACCAGTTCAGTAGGCTGCCATGCAACCTGGACAGGCAAAACTTCCATTAATATTACCCCTGTGTATTATTAAGTTACAAGGCAAGTCCATGTATGTGGTTTTACAAAACAGAATAATTTCCTGCAAACAGGTGCTACTTCACAGTGTTTTACATACAGCAAGAGATGAAAGGAATCCCGTGAAACCCCATGTATCTGGTAGATATTCCCTTGAACCCTAGTGTCTACTGAGTACTGGATGTTTTTGAACTAGGGAATGCAAGAGATGCTAGGCCACTGAATGCAAATAATACAAACGCAAGAAACTAAAAATCTAAACAAAATAAAAATGCCCAATGGATAGTTTACATTTAACAATTAAAGTTACAAAGATTTTTAGACCAAGTAAACTCTATTCCATAAATAACAGGTATTCAAGGGTTTTTAGTGTTTTGTCGCATTCCTGGCAAGCTGCAATCACAGTTTTTAAAGAAGAGAGTTAGCTCCCTGAAAAACAAGCTGCTTTCTCTACCGTGTTTTCTTACCCGCTAGTAATTGTCAGGAGGTCATGTTTTCCCCTCAGATGCTGAGACACATCTCCAGTGGATTTCAGCAGCAGCTAGATACCTGTTTCTGAGAGAAAGTTTAGCAGAAGTTTAAGTGCATTTAAGAACTGCACTGCAATTTCATTCAAGAATAGATACAGGATAGACATAGAAAATGAATGAAGACCAGAGTTCTTTTTTTGAAAAGAGAAACAGAATCCTTGGGCTCTGGCAAAGGCTGCAGAAAGCTCTAAAGAAAAGCAGTGGAGCTGGTAGAGGCAGATATCTACAGAAGAGTTGTAAGCATTCCTATTTTGGGTCAGTGGATAGAAAAGTTACGGGTGAGACAAGTGTCTCTGCCCTAATCTGGTTCAGTGCATCCTCCGACATTGGTTTTAGACCTGTAACAAATGTGAGAACTGGAAGGAAAATTATGTCCAAATTTATTTTCTCAGTCCTTTTTCAAAGGCAGAATAATACTGATGTTTAATCCCAGCTTTTAATCAAAACTAAAATGGTGTATAGATGGAAAACAAATACCACTTTTCTATTGTTGCCTACCCTGACCTGAGTGTTGGAGGATCTTTCTCTTATTGTAGGTTTGTAAAGCAGAGTACACTAAAAGGCTAAAAAGCACAAAATTGAGACACAAGGCAATAACCAAAGCTTGAATCAAATCCTTGGAGAGACACTCAGTGTTACATGTATGTAAAGAGCAGAAGTCATACTTCTGAACAAAGCTGGAAGTCTCTGCTAAATAAAAAATGAGAATGGTTCAGTGAATATTGTCTAATTTATCAGTGTTCAAGGTTACTAATCAGTTGGGAGACATGTCGGTGACCCTCATTTTCATTCCCTTTCACCTCTTCTTCCCCATCTGCCTCCTGTTCAGCCAAGCCAGTAATTAGTAGCTCATGTTTTTAATTTTCCTTAAAAAGTAAATTTAAATATTATTAAAAATTGATGTCTAATTTACAGGCCTAAATTATCTGTCAGACAATATAGTGCATAAAAAAAATACATTTCTGAATGATGCAGGTACATTGTGCTCTCTTACTGGCCTTTCATTATTGATGCAGTTTGCAGTACCAGAATTCAATAACTTCCATAAAGGAATTGTCACCTCTCTGCAGAGTAATTGCCCTAAGTTAATAGACCTACAGATAAAACAGCAGAGATATCTTCAGTTACAATGCTGAATTCAATGCTATGGTGAAACAGGTTGACAAAATGCAGCAACCATTGAAAAGGGACCTGACTGGGCACCTGCAAATTTCTGGTACTCACAAATTTACCAGGTCAATGGTAGCCATTGCATTTTTATAGGATGCCTAAAAGTGTGTGTTTATGCAGGGCTGTGTGTGTTTATGGAGGGCTGTAAAAGTGCCCTCCTTAATTTCCAGCATAGGATCTTACCATTAACTCCATTGGCCTATAGCAGGTTCACCCTCGGTCACCTCAGAGAGAAGCAATCTCATGAGCCACAGCCCAGATTCTGCTGACTTCAACTGCAGGATGTGTATGGGGTAGGATCTCCTCCTCCAGAGATTCTCCGAAGTGAAGGAGAATGCCACTGCAGCAAATGGCAGTGCTCAACTCACATGGCCTCTCAACAGTAGGGGAGTCCCTTGTTTTCTCAGATAAAAATAGCAGTAGCTTTAAAGTAGGGCTCTGCTAGTTATTTTTTAATAGTGTAACTTACTTACAGGCAAATGCAGTTTAACTTGTCCCCAAACCCGTTAATAATTTAAGCTAAAACTCACTAGCTAGCTTTTGCCAACTCTATGAAGAAAATGTTTCAGAGTAATATGAGTAAGAAGACTAGAACAGCTCTGGCATCTCCTGAGTGGGTAACCTGTGTCTCTTTTTCAGTGTACTGGTAAAAAGCCCACTGCAGTCATGTCTTCTACCCAAGTCACCATTGTATTCACTAAGTCACAATCCTGGCTGTCTCTCCTGTTGCTATTTTGATTTCTAATTAAAAATTAAAAACATCTTGTTTCTTTAGTATAGTCGTCAAATCTCTGTCCTGGGAGAAAAGACAAAGTGTACCACTGGATTTTTGATTAAGGAAAAGCATTTTAGAGAGGGCCTGAAAAGAAAAAGACAATGTTAAAAACTGTTTCTCAGATCTCTGTGGCTGTTTAACAGCCATGTGAAGGGCCACTAGCATGTTACTGTATTTCACTTTTTTTCTTTTGTCAGTAAGATGCTAATGCAAAATGATAAAAACAAAAAATCAATTGTTGAAATCACTTATTCACCTAGGTCTGCACTGATCAGTATTTTCTTATTGCCAGAGTTTACTTAGCCTGGAAAATACCAAACAGGCATTGTTTACAATAGCAGGAGATTTGCAACCCTATATTGTACTAACCTGTTCACAGATTATTTATGTAACTTGAAACTTTAACTACTACAAACCATAACAATCTGTTGATCTCATATATTTCAGCTATAAGAGAGCCAAACTCAATAACTATGCTTTATCCTAAAATTCGTTTTTTCAGTAATCTCATTTTAGGCTTCAAATGTAACTTCCAGTATGTCATTTATGTATCAGCAGTATTGCTTGGAACCATAAAATAAAACTCTTAAAGGGCTTATTTTATGACTGAGTCATACCTGAAAACCAGAATAACTAGAACTGCATCACCACAGGTAGAGCATCTGTCTAAATGGAACAACAGAAAAAAAGTAAAGGCTTGGGTACAATTTTGTGTTGGGGAGGGAAGACAATTTCATGGAGAGGAGAGGGGACAAAATAGAAAAAAAAAACAGCAAACCCACTCATGCTAACTCGGTTCTGCCCCTCTTTTAATGCCTGCTGATCTGAACAAGAAGAGGGATGCATCCTTTGCATGGTTACCTTAGTTTTTACAAGAAGCTCCTCATCTGTTGCTGCTTTTGGATATTTCATCTGAGTGAACCACAGCTGTTTTCTGTTTAGTTTCTTAGTGCCTTTGGTGAAAATGTAAAAAATGCCTAGGACCATCACAAAGCAGGTTGGGACTGGCCCCCTTTGAAGCAGGCACTGTACCACAGCTGGAGCATCCTTCCCCAAGGCAAGCTTGCAGGCACCAGTCCAGCAGGAGGGGGGGGAGCACCATCTACCTAAAGGGTAAGTCCTAAATGTGTAGTGCTGCTATTTTATTAGCTATGTATGGTTGAGTCCTCCATAAGCTGTGACAGAATGACCCAACTTTCCAAGGCAAAAATTTTGCCTCATTCCCACTGGCCATGAACAAAATGTGAGTGCTCACAAACACACCTCAAAATGCAGTTCTCTCACAGCTTTGGTGTTTCATGATCACGTGGCTCTGCAGAAGTTACCCAAGTCAGCTGAGACCAAGCCCCATCCCATGGCCAGCTTTCCCTCTGCAGGACTTCTTTGGGGAGATGCCTGTGGACTCAGCTTTGCAGCTGGTGCCTACATGGCCTGGACTGGGAAGCTCCTCTTCTCCTGCCCAGCTGGGTTGGGCTGCTGAGAAATGGATATCAAAGGCCAGTTAAGGAAGGCAGTGTGAAAATTTTGCCTTGCAGACATTGCTAGGGGCCAGCTGAGTGGGTAATACTGATATTACTTAAATGATCTTTTTTAAATTAGGCTTGTTTTCCATATTAAGTTTCCATTTGGTAATAATTACATTTGATGGGCCCTGATGCTCCTTTGAAGAACACGGCAGGTGAGGAAGAAATTATTCTTTCCTCACTTAGTAAACTTGAGAGGCTGCTCAGGTCCTGTTGTCTTCAAAGGTAAAAGAAATGCAACCCAAAACTAGCCTGTGAT